CCAGCAAGCTGTCTGCCTTCAGCCAGGTCCAGAACTTATACTCAGGGTCCACAGGTCAGTCAGAGCTGCAAATCAGAGAGGAATAGTACTGCTTTGCCATTTTTATTAAGAATCCACGTTGAAGAAATTGGGAGGCAGGATATAACAGCACACACTTTGGATCCCACATGCTTAGGTTTGAATTCTGGCCATGTGACCTTGGGCTAATGGCTTAACCTCTGCGAACTTCATCTGTACACAGGGATACGAACATGGACCGATTTTACAGGCTCTCACAAGATAAGATGAATTGAAAGCATTTATTAGCACAGTGCCTGGAACATGGTAAGACCCAATGAATCGTAGTGATGATGGTTATTATCCCTAATAAACTCAAGCCTCGATCGGAGTTCTGACTAGAAGCTTTCACATAGGACCACTATCAGTAGGACTAGGTTTACATTTTTTTCCTTTTCTTTTCTCTCTCTTCCTTTCTCTTTCTTTCCTCTTTCTTTCCTTTCTTCCTCCCTTCCTCCCTCCCTCCCTTCTTCCTTCCTTTCTTCTCTCTCTCTCTCCCTCCCTCCTACCTTCCTTCCTTTTTTTTTTTTTTAATTCTTTTAGCCTGGAGTTACCTTTTGTAGAAAATAGAAATAAAAAGGGAAAAGAGTTAGATTTATTGTATATTAACTAAAAATACTCATTTCAAGGAACCCAACTACAAGTGGTAAATGCAGAACTGATTTTATAAAAATTTAAATCTAGAAGTTCCCACTATGCCTGGGAAGCAGTAAGAGGCTTCAGCAGCTGAACGGCTTTCCAGAAAGCTGGAGGAGAGGCCTTGGCCTGACTCACCGTTGCCCTGGCAACAGTAGGGCCTGGAGGCCTCTGTCCCTGATCCCTTAATCTGAGGAGCTGCCATAACAGCGCCTCGAGAAAGGTCTCCCACAGACACCTGGCTAGTAAAAGCTGCCCTGACTAAGCGGAGGGACAGAGAAAAGATGGAGGTGTGGCTCTTTTTGCAGACAGTTGCCTAAAGTTCTCCGTGATGGTCTCAGCTTTCTAGACCCCCGAAGGCTTCTTCTAGAGAATCAGGCTGCAGAATCTCCACCAGATTCTAGGTGCTGTCAAGGCAGTGGATGCTTTCCTCATTCTTGTGTGTTTCTCATGGAGCCCAGCACAATGCTTTGTACACAAGTTGTGCCGAATAAAAACCGAGGGCTGGCTGACAATGAGCATCCCCCACGGCGCGAGACCATCGCCCTGCTCCCTTTGCTGCCCTCCACCTCAATGAGCCAGCTCAGACGAGCCCACTCCTCTTTGTCTTAATTTCCCAGCTATCGAATGATAGGCTCAACACTGCGGACTTTTTGCCTCTAAAATTATTTTTTATTCTCTTACTACATTCATAATTGTGGCAAACATATGGCACAGAGCATGTTCTGCTTGATATATTCTGTTTCCCACAATTTTGTCTTAAATTTTAAAATCTGAGGGTAAAATGGAATAATCTGAAAGAGGTGCGGGCTTTCCTTTCTTCAATAACCATTCAGGTCCCAGGGAAAGAACTTTGTGGCCAAGCCATGGGCTGTGGAGTCGAAAAGACAAGTTCAAATCCTGACTCCACCATTTGGTTGCTGTGTGACTTTGGGCCTACATAATCTCTCCAGGCCTTGAGCTCTTCATCTATGAAATGATGATGACGATGCATAATCAGAGTTACGAGGTAATGTACGTCAAGTTTTCAGAAGTAAGAAGCGTTCAATAAATGGCAGTTATTCTTTTTGGTACACAACTCCATGGGGCCAAAGGCAACCGGCAATGTAGGAGTGTGCAAGTCTGGCTTTCTAACTACATTAAGGGCACCCTGGGAAAGTGCTGTGAAAGACTATAGACACCCAGTAAGGCGGGGAACTACCCACTGCAGACACCGGTGTGCGACCGAGAGGTGAGCTTACGGCCCAGTCAACGCCGCCATCAAGACCAAGATGCGGCTGCCTCGGTGTGTTGATTTGAACTTGCTCACACCCAACAATCTTTTGCTTCTGCCTGTTGGGGAAATTTCCTTCTCAGAGATTCGTTCTTTTAGGACAACACTAGCCCACTACCCACCTGAACTTCTGTTTTCACTAGGCTAAACTGTCATTAGCTAGAAGCCAATAATGAAATTAACAAACTTTTATTGAGCCCTCAGTACAGGCCAGCGTCTTTGCTTTGAGTTTACTCTTTATGTTATTGAAACCCCAGAACAATGGGACCTTTATTGTTCCCACTGAACAGATGAGGAAACGAATGTTCTGTTAATGAACTTGTTCAAGGCCACACAACCGTCAAGCTTAAATCCACATCTGTTCGCCTCCAGAGTCTGTCTGCCCTTCAGTGACCGTCCTCTGTCAGATGCTGGCCTCGGACAGATGTCGGAGATTACGGCAGATGGAAAGTGGGAATCGTGGTGGTGTCGAGGAGTCAGGACAAGGGGAGGACAAGGCTCTGGGCCATTGGAAGAAGAGGCCTGAAGAGGGGCTTAGAGCCGAGGAAGGGGAGGGAGAGGCCCGGAGAACTCCTGACAGCCCAGCTCCGCCTAAGAAGTATGAGTCTTTGACGATATTTAATCCTTTATAAACCAGATTTCCTAGGAAAAGAAAGGCTCATAAGCACCATTCCCACTGACCCCACGGTGCTCTGAGGATGTCCCGGTAACTTCGTATAACAAATGAAGTTACTCTCCCTGTCTCCAACTTGGATTCCACCCCAAACTCCCGTGGTCCCCACTCAGGTCTGAACATCTCCAGCACTCGTTGGTCCTCAAATTCCAGGACTAGTAAAGATTTTGAGCAGTAATGACCCTCCACCAAGCATCTCCAAAATCTCTCTGCTAGCATCTCTTCGAGGTTTCAAATATCCTGGTGTTCAAAAGAACAGCTTCCTCTGCCGTCCCTTCAACCTCTGGCCCCCAGTTCCATCCTCTATGCCCTGTCCACTGAACAGGGCCGATCCTCCCACACATCTGACCGCAGCAGTTTCCTTCCCCATCAGACTCAGTCTCCTGCTATTTATCTGCATCATGTCCCTCTCCTGCTCAGCAATCTTCAGTGGTTTCTCATACAAGAGCAATTCACACTCCACAGTCTGAAGTCTGAGATCCAAGACCCCCTCTTTACCCCAGTCTACCTCAAGCCAACCTTTGTGACTCTGTGTCTCTCCACAGGCCCTTTCTCCAGTCAGCAGGTTGAATCAGTCACTGCTCCTAACCAACTGGAGCCCACCTCCCACACTTGCACCGTTAAGAATAGCCCCACCCAAAGGCCTTCCTCCTTCTCATCTGGGGAATCCTCCCCAGCCCACAGGACCAGCTCAGATCCCACCTCCCCAGAGCAGCTGTCCTGACTTCTCCAGGCTCCTTGTCCTGTAGTCAGCAGAGCACGCAGCACGCATTTGGCACTTAGTGTTTACTGCACACGAACGTAACTACCTGCTCCTGGATCTGACTGCTCTGCAGCTGGTTCTGGAGGTCAGGGCCGAGACTGGCCGCCTCTCCAGCTCTTCCTGTCAGCCCGGGCCTCTGTCCCCTCCGCTGGCTGCCTGCCCTGATGTCCTACCACCCTTTCAGAAATTTTCAGTGTAAAAGGAGAAGTCATATCCTTTCAGATATAAGCTCCTGGGCATCACTCCCCTCTGTGCCTCAGTTTATGCATTTTTACAAGGAAAGGAGGGGGTTCACAACCTCTGTGGTCCCTTCAGTCAAGGATGACTTAGTCTGCCTATCTTCAGCAGCTCTTGTCGCTCAGGCCCATCTCTCTGCCTTCAGCAGAAATCCGGCCTCCCCAGTTCTTGCGGCTGAGCGGGCACCCTGCTCGCCTCCATGAACTGTCCCTTCCAATTGCCTGAATTCTCTCTGGGTCACTGCCAGGCCCAGGAGCAGAGCGAGAGTCAGTCACCCAGTGGGTAACGTAACATGCCCACAGCTTTTCTCTCTATGCCTCACTGGAGGGCGACTGGAAATGAATGAATACCCAGTGAAACCAGAGTGCATTCGCACATTTAACAAATCTAAAGAGAGTAGCTTTGCTGTAACATACAAATAAAAAATGTTCTGACTGGTGCCTTTTGTGGTTTCCTCAAAGACTGGCACCAGGGGCCTCTGCAGCCCTTCCCTATGCCTCCCTGCACCACAGGCCACCCCTCCACCAGCTGCATTTCCAGACGGGCAGGAAGGCTTCTTGGTCCCGTGGCAAGCGCCCAGCTTTTGCTGTACGACCGTCCTTCCAGTCCATTCCAAAACTGTCTCTCTCTCTGCCTCTCTCCTGAACTCCCACTGTCCTCCGGACACGGGGGCACATGGATGGTCTGCAGCCAGGACTCATTCACTATTTCAAGCTCGTCAGGCCTGTCTCTCCTTTAGATTTTATAATCGGTGGGATCTGGGTCCCCTTCACCACCCAACACAGGATATGAGCACACAAAAGTGACTCAACAGAACCTGTCCACTGACACTAGGCACATGTCCCTCGGCCACCTTCTCAACCCCTCCCCTTCAAAACCAAACAAAAACGGCAAACAGGAAACGCTCGTCTTTTAAAAATTACTCTATTATTATCAAATAGAACCACAGTATCCAAAAGGTCATTAGAAAGTTCTATCCCCAACTAAGCGGCCCTGCACACCGCCCCTCCGTGTGGCCGGCGGCCAAATCACTCCCCCCGTGCTGATTGGTTTCATCCATTTTATTGTCAAGGAAATTAACAGCCCGAAGGGGTTCCCCAGGTCCGCGCTCTCCCCCCTGGGGGCCCCGGGTACACACGGCAGCAAGCGACCTGGTCTCACTACCCCCGTGTCCTTGGGAGGAGGGACGAAAGGAGGGGGGGCTCACAGCAAAGGGGCTGGGGGCGCCCCGCCCCCGCCCGC